GGGATGCCGGGGACCACCACCCACCCTGCCCCTCTGGGCTGATGGGGCACTGGGGACCCAGCACCCACCCAGAGCCCGTGTGACACCCAGGGACCCCCCCCACCCACTACAGCCAGCAGCAGCAGGTCCCCACTCACAGCTGCTCCTGCAGCTCCAGGATGACGCCCTCCAGCTCCCTCTTCTCCAGCTGGTTCTGCACCATCGCCTCCTCCAGGCGCAGCTTCAGCTGCTTGTTCTCCGCCTCCAGGTCCTTCAGCTGCGACTCCCGCAGCCGCACCAGCTCCTCCAGGTACCCCTGTGCAAGGCCACCATCAGCAGCACCCTGCTGCCCCCCCACCAGGACCCCCACATCCCCATAGGACCCCCCCACGTCCCCAGGGCCACCCAGGGTGGCAGTGGCATGAAGGGCTGTAGGTACCCCCAGGCTGCGGATGCAGGGATGCGGTGGGGGGATGCTCTGGGCTGGAGCATCCCTGGGAGGGTCAGTATCCAGGTGGTCTCATCCCAGCTCCTGGTACCTTTTGGGCATAAACAATGCGAAATTTCTTCTCCATCTTGCGCCACTTGTTGTACCAGCTGTCATCATCAGTGACCAGGGGCAGGTAGGGGTGGTCAGGGGAGCTGTCCTCACTCGTGCTGCTCTCCACGCTGCCCCGCTCCTCCTCCTCACTCAGGTGGTCGTACCTGGGGGGTACAGGGGCTCAGTGGGGACAGCAAGGGGCTGGCATGGGTGGGGGGAGCCCAGCTGAGCCCCACCGGGGTGTTTGGGGAGAGACACCACCCCAGGGAGGCCACCCCAGCTCTTACCTCTGTGTGAACTTCAGGTAGGGCGTGTAGTCAATGACCATGGGCATCTTCCCGTCCATCACCTCACCCTTCAGGCAGAAGCTGAGGGGTGGCAGGAGAAGGAGCAGAGATTCAGAGCAGCCCCAGGGGGTTGGAGTGGGATGGGAGACAGTCAGGGCAGGGTCCCCATGTCCCACCATGTCACCCACCCCTACCTGAAGTCGATGGTGCCGAGCCCGACGAGCATCCCCGTGAGCACCATGGCCTCCTCCCGCAGCATGATGGACCCGTCCTCATAGAACCGCCTGCAGGGGAAAAACCCTGGCGC